CTACTGGGTCTATATTGACATTGGCATTTTTTCTTTTTTTAACAATCTTTTTTTTTTGTGTGAGGAAGATCAGCCCTGAGCTAACATCCATGCTAATCCTCCTCTTTTTGCTGAGGAAGACCAGCTCTGAGCTAGCATCTATTGCCAATCCTCCTCCTTTTTTTTTTTCCTCCCCAAAGCCCCAGTAGATAGTTGTATGTCATAGTTGCACATCCTTCTAGTTGCTGTATGTGGGACACGGCCTCAGCATGGCCGGAGAAGCGGTGCGTCGGTGCGCGCCCGGGATCTGAACCCGGGCTGCCAGTAGCGGAGCACGCGCTCTTAACCGCTAAGCCACGGGGCTGGCCCGACATTGGCATTTTTGAAAGTTGTAGGATACTAGAGAGAATTTTCTGAATTACCATTCACATGTACCTGTTTTCGGTAGTTTCCGTGGCGATCTGTAAGGGTTACCTTAGTGCTCTATCAGAAGTGCCTTGTGTTTTATAACATAAGAACCAGGTTAAATTGTAGGGCCAACCCACATAGATACATGTGTGCTCCTTCAACTTGTCTGGGTTCCTTGAACATCATTAAGCTTCTAGCTTCTTAGGGCATCTGAGGAAAACTGCTCCCTGAATTGCCTCTTCCTTCAAGGTGTGCTCATCCTGTAGCACTGTGGTTGAGGGCTCCACCATGCCACCCCAACTTCTGCCCCTGGGGACTCTCCTGCCCTTTCGCTGACAGCCTGCCACAGGGATATTGATGTATTTTCTTGCTTCTAGGCTTTAAAACGAGCCAGGATACTAGTATCAAAACAGCACACCAAACATATAGAGACAAGTGGCTCCTCCTAATCTGTTTAACTTGTTTGTTTTAGGACAAAGATGTTGCTCGACTTCAAGATTTCCAAGAGCTGGAATTGGTTCTAATGATAAGTGAAAATAACTTTCTGTTCAGAAATGCTGCATCCACACTGACTGAGCGGCCTTGCTACAACAGGAGAGCTTCAAAACTGACTTACTAATGCAGCAGGACTTTTATCACTGAGTGTTGTGACAGTGTGTTATCTCTGGGCCAAGGACAAGCCATTGATCTAAATGCCTTGGATGCCCGGGAGGGCCCCTGGTGCCACCACGTAGCATACACTAACATCATTCTGCCAAGGTAGGAAGCCCCTGACCCCGAGCAGCGGTGCCACACTTCTAAGCCTCTTGGTGCACAATAAACCTATTGCTTGAAGCTGTGAACAGCTGAGGAGTGGTCTGGAGAGGCAGAGGCCGGCGGTTCTGTACCCGGTGTGTTTTAGTGCAGAGTGTAAGGGTGGTCTGAGCAGAAGCTGCGAGAGAGCGGAGCCTGCTTCTAGCCACTCCTGTTGACAGCGCACCTGAAGGGCCGGGATGCACTTTTGGTGTTGCATGCTCACAACTCTCCTGAAGTGTGACCTGACTAGAGAGGAAACTGGGGAAAGCACAGGTACTGGACAAGGGAATTTTAGTGTGACTTGTGGCTGTGAGGTTTCACATAACATATTTATAAATGTTACTCAGGTTAAAGTATTTAGGAATACAGTTACCTAATTGTAAATACGCTGTTAACCAAAAGAGCTTCCCCTCCCCCACTTTTTCCTTTGTAAACACTCATGACTGCTTCTCTGTCTGCAGTCTACCTTTGCCTAGACAGTCATCTCTGCATTAACTCCTCTTCGTGGTCACTAGAGGGCTCTCTGATGCTTTCCAAAAGAGCAACTGCTTTTTTTTTTTTTTTTTAAACTCTGAAGTGATTCCTGTCATCTACACATTTAATCGCACCGAATGAGAAGAGCACAAACATTGCCAGTCAGTCTTCTCCACTTTCATTGTCTACTAGGAATGAAAAGCAATTTTTGAGACTGAATCTGTTGCTGTTTTAAAGGTTATTGTGGGAAACTGAGCTAAAGAAGTTAGCATCTTTATTTTTGTATCAAAGATAAAGGTTATTTTGAAATTATTAGGATTTTTACACAACGCTGAAGTCTGTTGCTTTTGTAAACAAATTGTTTGATCTTAGGGATCCCCTACAAGCACCACCAATCCACTTAACAAAGTCAATTGTGAGTCTACTGGGCATTGTTCTGGAAAACACAAACACACATCTGATTAAACTCTTCAGCATGGCATAAGAATTTTTTTGAAGAATGCATTCAAGGATTCTTTTCCCTTCCTTCAGTGTCATTACTGTTAAAAGCCACTGTCTTATTGAAACAAACAGCTTAACTCTAGAAATAAGAAAGAGCACACTTAGACAAACAGGAGAACAGGGGTTCAAAGCCAGCTGTTGAAGAGCCTCCCTGCTGTCTTAAGAAGCTTTTCCCCATAGTGCCTATAGTTTCCAAAGAAACTTAACTTCCTAACTGGGTTAATTTTATTGGAACGCCACGACTGAGAGACATCGTGCAGAAGGTGTCAGTGGAAGAGGACGTCGTGCTAGGATAATGGCCTCCTGCTGCCGCCTAAATGCTGAGCTGAGGTTGAGGTGTGTTCAAGGCCGACTTCATGGAGTCACTGTTCAGTGACTTAATTGTATTCCACCAATTAGTGATGGTGAGTTACTCACCCTTTACAGTGTTTGCATAGCAGAGTAAAGGTTACTTATGACCCTCTGTCTATGAAGTGCTTTCAAGAAGAAACCTCCCTTGTGTTTCAACCAGTCAGAAGCTAGTTTATCTAGACATACTAACCTCTTTTTCCCTTTCCTTTGAAAAAAATTACAATTTACTGATAAATTAAGGCTAGTTCTATCCTGGAATCAATAAATTCAGTATTAACTCATTTCTAAATCACTGGGGTTAAAACTCTTCCAGCCATCCAGATCAATTCAAGATTCTCAGAAGCAGTGGAGGCCCCTGGCTGGGAGGTAGTCTACACAGGAGTAGCTCCAGGGCTTTCCTGGGCCTAGAAACAGAGGCCAGCGAGGGGCTTGGCGCCTCCAGTGAGAGATGAGCCAACACTGGTCTCCTCTTCTCCTTTATAAAGTCCTCTGGGGTCAACTGACTCCTGTATACGGCAGTGGGATAAGACTGCACATTGCTGGTAGGTGAGTTTAAAGTCTTAATCTATGCATTCAGAGAAATATTTTTATATGCTTTGTGTATTTTATAACAAGGATTTTTTTTTAGCTTTGTTAACTGTGAATTCACCCCTCCTTCTCCACTGCATATTTACAGCATGTGTTCACACTGTGTGTAAACATTCACTGAAGATTTTTTGTGTGTGCATTGCTGACTGTTCAAACGTAACAACTATTATTAAAATTAAATATTAACTGACTGAGCCCATATTCTGTAATTTTGGCCTCCTACACAGCACTATACTTTTTTTTTTTTTTAAAGATTTTATTTATTTATTTTTTCCCCCCAAAGCCCCAGTAGATAGTTGTATGTCATAGTTGCACATCCTTCTAGTTGCTGTATGTGGGACGCGGCCTCAGCATGGCCGGACAAGCGGTGCGTCCGTGTGCGCCGGGGATCCGAACCCGGGCCGCCAGCAGCGGAGCTCACGCACTTAACCGCTAAGCCACAGGGCCGGCCCAGCACTATACTTCTAATCACAGGGGGTTCAAATTGTTGGACAGCCCAGGGACAAGACGCACTGGGGAAGAAGAGAAGGCCTGTTCCCCACCGGAGCCTGTTCCACCCCGCTGCTGCCCCGTGCTCAGGCCGTTAGTGGCGCCTGGAGACAGACACTTTGTGCGCTGTCTTTCCTCCCATTCACAGCCGTCAGCTTCATTTCCCCGGAGTAGCTGAGCCAGCTAGATAGAGGTCATCCTCTAGTAACCACATTTTTTGATTATCCTATTTACTTTACACAACTGAGCCTCTCCTTTGGGCTGTCAGCACCTGTCAGGGCCTCAGTGAGCTCAGAAGCAAACTCCCGAGACAGGAGAGGAAATATAGCCCACCAGCCGTATACCTTCAGATCTTCAGCTGAGAAGGATGCCGAATGAATCTGCGTTTCTGTTGGTTTAGGGTAGCGAGAGCCTCACAAAGCAGATGTCATGCCAAATTGGCCTAATAAATCAGGGAGCATAGCAGAGACCTTCTCTTAGCGCCAAGGAGAGGCGGAATAATTTGGGCATTTGTGCTTTCATACTTGCTTTATCACAAGGATGGAAGTCTTCTTCTATACACTCATAAACATCCTGGGAAACAGCCTGCCAAAAAAAATGTGATTAACCTTTAACAAATGGTCCTGCAGCACAGGCCGACCCAATGCATGGAGAAAAACCAGATCAAAGGAGCCATCTCCACACCTACTGAAAACCATTTAGGGTGGGGGAGAAAAAAACAAACCATCACTCACAACCAGTCACATCATACTAAGAATAAAGGTTGAGGAAATGAGAGAGTCAGAGGAGACCAGAAAACTCAGGAAGGTAAGAGAGAGAAGAGATCCATTCCAAATATAAGGCCTTGTGCCGGGTTGACTGACCTGCAGAAAATAAACACTTCACTGGCTTGCTCAAGAAAGCACATTTAATTCACCTCATCTCCTTTACTAGCCTTGACTGTCAGGGCAGGGGGCAGCCTCTGGGCTCTCCTGTGCTCCCACATTCAGCTTCTGCCCGACTGAGGAAGGGGAATGACGCGGAGGCCTCACTGGTAGTGGGGACCTGTCTGGAACAGACTTCTAAAGGAACAGGGAAATAAAGCACCGTGCACTTCTCAGCCCCTAGAGAAGCAGGCTGAGAGGTCTGAGGACCGACATATACATGTAGGTGTTCACAGCAGCTTTCCCAAGAGGCCTCGGGTCAGATTTCAGGGGCTTTATTTCTCCCCTTTGTACAGTAGCTGCACAGCAGAGCAGGAACTACTGGCAATTTCCCAGTGAATTTTGGCTGTGGAGACATTTCCAGCCAAAAGCTCTCGGGTCTTAAGTTTTCAGATAATTCCAGCCATGTAGATGTGTGTCAAGTCTGCCTCCTCCAAAGGTCCTAACCCCCAACCTTGTGAACAGGCAGAGAAAGGCTCCATTGGGGTGTATACTGTTGACCACGTAGCTTTATTTCATCAGTGCTCCATTTTTAATGGATTCAGGCCAGCACCCCAGAGTACAGGATTCAGTTCCTAGGGACGGCCTGACCCGGCAGTCTTCTGTTCCAGGAGGAAAAGGCTTTATTTAAAAAAAAAAACTTTAGAGTCAAAAATATGAAAAATCAAAGGGGGTAGGGAAGTCATTCCATGAAATGATTGAAAACAGTGAAGTCTGGGAATCACACGAGATTGGGGAGCAGGAGACCCGGGGACTAGTCTGGGCTCTGCCTCAGACTAGCTGTGACGGTTATCCTGTGAGGCACTTTACAGGGGCAAAATCTAACAGATGCCCCCAGCATTTGCTGTCAAGTCCATTCTGCAGACATATTTGGTGTCCTTTCTCTTCCTGATAAAGCCAGGAGTGGCCAGGAGGAAAGCCCAGGAATATACTTTAGGCAAGTCCAGCGTCCTTGGCCATCCCGTAGAAGATGCCTCTGGCTGCAATGAGGTGGGTTGGAGAATCAAATTCGGCTACTGTCCCTTTGTCCAGGACCAGGACTCTGGCCAAAGAAAAGAAGTGGTCAGGTCTCCATCAGCCCAGACTTGGCCTCAGAGTCCAGTACCCTGCCCTTCTGGGTACTGCTCAGGCCCTGCAGTGACATGCCAACCCTCCCACTTCAGTCAACCCACCCAACACAGCCGCTACGCCGCATGGGCACGCTTGCAAGAGTGGTTATTTTAGCTGCTCGGTTTGCTCTCCTGGCAGATGAGGCCGTTTCTGGGATCAAACACAAGGTTCCTATTCATCTCTGCTCGTCGGGGCTCCAAAAACCTTCCCTAATGAGCCCTTCCCCTCGCTGGGGTCACCGGACTGTGCACAGGGAGCCACGGGCCTGTGTGCTGGGCCCTGTGCGCTTGCATCTGCTTTGTGCCAACTCACAAAGGCACACAGCGGGAAACCGGGCTGCAGTGAGGCCTGACACTGGAATCTGGGACTTGGGCTGCAAATCTGGCTGCTGCTGATGGGTGGGTATTCCCCACCCCCCACCCCCGTCCAATACACACAGTCAGGCCTGGGCCTGGAATTAGAATCTCTCGCCAACCAAATGCAGGGTGCACCTGGTGCAGGGCCAATAGCCTGGCTCCCAGGGTGAGGCAGGAGTGAAAAGGGCTCTACCAAGCCCGGGAAGATGCTTCTCGAGGGGAGGGAGCAGACTGCACTCTGTTTCCCCACCTACGGAGCTCCCTGAAACGTGTCCTGGGAAGGAGTTTGTCTGTGGACATCGCTGCCTGGCCACTGCCCAAATTGGAGCCCAGGAGACAGCCGCCCTCCCTTCAGTGGCTTCTTATTGCTCTTAGGGTAAGGATCAAATGCTTTACCATGGTCCTTAAAGTGCAGCAGTGGGGCCTGTCCCCCTCTCCCCCTCATCTTGGTTCTACTGCCCCCTTTGCCCTTTGCATTCCAGCCTCATGTGTCCTCCTCCTGAAGAGCCTTTGCATGTGTTGCATCCTTTGCCTGAAATTTCCAGCTCCCTCCCTACCCCATCTCCTCCCCTGCTCCCCAACTCTTACTCATCCTTTAGGGCCAGGCTGGTACTCCTTCCTTAGGAGAGAAAGTGTCCTAGCTGCCCTGTGTGCACTGGCTTCCTCTGCCTGCACACATGGACCCCTGCTTCCTTCCCGCAGGCTCTAATTACCTGTTCAGTAGCATGATTATTTAATTTCTGCCTGCCCCACTAGAGTGAATGAATTCCCAACCCCCAAAGTCAGTTTGAACCTTCTACCCTCAGGGCTGCTGGTGAAAATCATGTTTAGTTAGGCCTGGGAACAGATCCTCTTAGCCAGCTCTGTCCTTTGTCTGGACGCAGGGCCCAGCACTTCCTGCCACCTTCCCTTTTCCCAGTGGGTCCTGGAAGGGAGTGGGGTGGGGTAGGGATACAACAGACAGAGGGTAGCATCAGGCATGCTCAGCTTGGTTCCCAAGCCGCTGGGGGCTGTGTGGGGACACTCCTGAGAGAGGGACAAGGTCTGCCCCACTGCCCTTTCCATGGTACCCTCCCCACCTCCCCATGCCCTGTGGGTGTTTGTTTTGTGAACGGAGGCCTGTTGATGTACTCCACCACATTCCTTCAACATAGGTTTGTTGCAGCTTCCTGCCTCCTCTTCCTCACTCTGAGCTCCCGTGTCTGCAAGGGGAGGGCCAGCTCACTTCCGTGAGGCCTCTGAGTCACACAGCAGCCCCCTTGCCCTCCTGCACCACACCTTGACACTGGGCACAATGAGGGACTAGGTCACAATTTTTCCTTTTGGCTGAGTGGCCTACCTCCCCAAGGAAGGAATAAGATTCCGAGGTCAAGACCCCTCCCCTAATCCTGTGAGGGACTGGGGCTAGGGAGAATTACAGTCAGGGGCTGGGGAGGAAACTAACATCTCCCAGGACCGCCTGCACTTTCAAGGCTTTATTTCATTGACTCCTTACAACAACCCTGAGCGAGTCATGATTTTGTGAACTGCCCAAGGTCACACAGCAGTCAGCAGCTGAGTGGGGCCTGGGACTCGGCCCTCTGCTCTCCGACCACAGGGCGTCTGCCCCTTGTGGTGCTGTCAGGGTCCAGCCCACCAAGGCAGGGACCCAAGCATTACGCACCTTCCCTCAGGGGCTGCCTCATCTGCACACCCACCTCATGGGGTGGGAGGGAGGCGCAAATGAGGTAAAGGCCACGCGGGCATTCTGTAAACGGGTCCTCAGGGATTGATGGGATTTGGCATGAAGGACCCAGTTCCCCTCATCTCAGAGCGTTAATAGGAGGCTGGAGGGAGGCGGCCTGTGCACAATTCACCAGAGCCCCAGTGTGCCCCGTCCCCACACGTTGGTACCCCCAAAGTGCCCCCTGTGTCTCAGAAAACCTCACTGTGCCCCCGTGCCCCCATAACCCCACTCTGTTCTGCCCCTTATCCATAACTTGGGAAGCCTTGCTCTGCCCCCCCACAACCTAGACAATCCCACGAGCTCTCCCATGTCCAGATAACTTTAATCTGCCTGCCCCTTCCCGATGGCCCAGGCGACCCCACCAGGCCCCTCCCTGCTGGGTTCTGGTGCCCCACCTGTCATAGTCCATGATGGTGTTGAGCCGGTGTGCGATGGTCAGCACCGTGCAGGCCTCAAACTGGGTGCGGATGGTGGCCTGGATGAGGTCGTCAGTCTCCAGGTCGACGGCGGCCGTGGCCTCGTCTAAAACCAGGATGCGGCTCTTGCGGAGCAGGGCTCGGGCCAGGCACACGAGCTGCCGCTGGCCCACGCTGGGAATGGGGAAGGCAGGCATCTCCAGCTGGGCGCCCTTAACCTGCCTCCAGCCTCACTCCCCAAACTGTTTCTGTCTCCGCTCCACCCCAATGGCCCAGGACTGGCTTTCTGTCTAACCTCTTCCATTTCTGCCTCAGCCAGGTCCTCCTGGAACATCGAGGTCTGGACACCACAGGGAGAATGAGGGGCCTTTGGGTGGAGCTAGTGCTCAAAAACATTGTGAAATCCTCAGTCTGTCTCTGGCACCCCCGGCCTCCTCCTTCTATACTTTCTTCCTTGTCCTCACTCCTCAACTAGTGTCATGATGTTTCTCTGCTTCACTCGATCAGTCATTTACACCTTAGTAAGAACACAATTAAAAGGCTCTTCCTGGATATTTGCACACATTATGCCATCTTGCTGAGCCTAATATCAGACTGTCATCTCCCACCCCCATAGGGAATACAGGCCAGGGCTCTGTTTTGAGAATAAGGAAGGGGTAGGGTAGGAGAGGACCTGGGGACTCCCTCGTGTCTGGTCAGTAGGGAAGTAGAGGAGGGGCGGGATGCATACCTTCAACCTCCCGCCTTGGAAGCCAGAGCTAGGGAACAAAGTGAGGCTGTGTTCCCAACCACAGAGGCTGCTACACCCCCACAGCCAAGGCCAAATACCTCAGCCTTTCCCAAAGGGGTGAGTCACCACAGTGCGGGTCAAGGCCGGGCTCTCTCCCTGGCCCATTCCCGCAACTAATGAAGGTTTTGGCAGCAGAATGAGCCACCAGATAGAACTCAGGGCTGATTTACGGTGGGACTGGCACAGGATACAGATTATACTTAAAGTGGCTACAAGCTCAGTGAGGGAGGAGGGAGCCGATTTCTGTCTCAGATCCTGGTGTATGTGGGGCTGGAGGAGGTGCTCTGGGGGAGGAGCAGGGAGAGAAGAATGGACCAAAAAAGAGCTATGGGGTGCAGGGTCTGGAAGCCTATGCTTGTCCACCAGCCACCCCAACGTGGATGTGTAAGTGAAATCCAGTTAAAATGCACATTCAGTCTTTCGGGGCTGCCTGGGGAGGCGGTGGCGTCCCACTGGTGGCTATGATGCAGCCAGGAAAGGTTTGGGGCAAAAGTCCCCACTTCCCTGAGTCCCTGCCCCTCCCCTCGCTAGCTGAGCAGCTTTGGGCAAATGTATACTTCAGAGCCTCATTTCGGGCCCATGGGACTGCAGTCAAGATGAAACAAGATAGTGGACGCCAAAGTGCTTTGAACACTTACAGTGCTGAGCAAATGTAAAGGTTTTTGTTTTTGTTGTTGAGGTCTGGAGAGAGTCCATGGGTATAGACTCAAAGAGAGCAGAATAAGAATAGCTATATTTCTCAGGAGACTTTTCAGGTGATGTGCTTTCCATCTCATCACACAAATCACACATCACATCACAGTGACCCTAAGACCGCTCTGTTCCAAGGTAGCCCCCGGCCACATGTGGCTACTGAGCACTTGCAGTGTGGCTAGTCTGAATTGGGATGTGCTGTAAATGTAAAAATACACATGGGACTTCAAACTTACCATGAAAAGATGCAAAGTATCCCTAATAACTTTTATATCAATTACATGTTGAAATGATAATATTTTGATAGATGAGGCTAAATAAAATACATGATGAAAATTTATTTTACTCATTTCTTTTTGCTTTTTTTAAGGTGGCTACTAGAAAAAATTTTAATTACACATATGTGGCTCACATATTTTTATTGGGCAGCATGGTGCCAAGAGGTATGGGTATTATTATCCCCATTTTAGAGTGAAGGAAAAGGAGGCACAGAGAGGTTAAGTGACGTGCCCAAAATCACACAGCTAACACAGGCACAGGAATCTCAACCCTTCAGACTCAGTGAAAAGTGACTTCTGGCCCTCCCTGATGCACAGCCCAGTGGCTGGGGATATAAAATCTGGGGCTATAACAAAGCAAAGAAGGGCCTGGAGAGCTCACTCTGTCCTCTCCTAAACCACAGACGAGACTGCGTCCATCTTGGAAAATATCTATGATTTCCCTAAAGCACTGTGGATTTCCTCTCACCTGCTCTGCAGGTTGAGTCCACACCCCTCTCCTCAGGCCAAGCACAGAACCTCACAAGACAGGACTGAATAGGGCTCTAGAATCTCCCAGACCTGGTTCAAATCCCAGGCATGCCTCCTCCCAGCTATGTGACTTTGGCCCTGCCTCAGTTTCCTCATCTGTGAAGTGGGACCATGGACCACCTCTGGGGCTTGTGTGGTAGTGCGATGTGCCTGGCACACAGAATATGCTCGATACAAAACAAGGCCCCCTAAGTTTACGCAGGCTGAGATGGGAGAGCAGAGGGCAGGAGGAGGCTGGAGTGGGAAGGGCAGGAGGGGGCTGGAGAGGGCTGGAGAGGGGAGGGCAGGAGGGGGCTGGAGAGGAGAGGGCAGGAGGAGGCTGGAGAGGAGAGGAGAGGAGGGTGGGCTGGAGAGGAGGGGGCGGGAGGGCAATGGAGAGGGGAGGGCAGGAGGGGGCTGGAAAGGAGAGGGCAGGAGGGCAACGGAGAGGAGAGGGCAGGAGGGGGCTGGAGAGGAG